CTTTGGTCTCCTGTGGCACACTAGGGACTATTTGTTACCGGTGTTGGACTATTTGTTCGCCATGGCCCTTTATGCTTTTTAAAACAACGAGATTTTGATTTTTGATTATGTATTATTGGGCCAAATTTAATTCATTCCTTTCATGTTTTACGATAGCAGACATGGAGATCCTCACAAACAATAACGGAATATTTCAAACAGCTTGAGATTCGTTATCAGACCAAACAGAAATTGGAAGTAATTGAAAGTCAGAAGACTATTGAGCTCGCCGAAATCGAACGTATGAAGGTACTTTTTGTTCTTTTATACACGCAACATACGACTTTCTTGATATAGTACGCTATCTGCACTCAATAATTTTGATATGTATATGCTACAGGTTACTCAATTATGGAATAATACAGAATCAGTAGCGAAGATTCATCAGCATGTTTCTGATAGCTTTGTAGAATTTAGCAAAGAAATGACAAGAATACCAAAACGCATATTAGAATCTGATCGCGAAAGTAATCCTGATAAAAAACAAAAGCCTGTGGGTATCTTCACTGTGAATGCATATCTCGAGATTAAAATATTTCTAATTTTGTTTCTGTCCATTAAAGTCGGCATTGGAAGATAGCGATGATGAATTAATTATTATAGATGATGATGAGGAAATAAATAATCTTACAAAGGTATTTTGGTATTACTATCTATTACTTATAATAATTATCCTCACTCATACTTAAACTCCTAGGACTAGATGGACATTCGTAACAAGATGTATAAAGTTTTGGTTGCACGCCAAAACAGAGAAAAACAATCTGGAAAGAATCATATGACGTCGATATGTCTCAATGGTATAATAGATTTGTCCGATGAAGAAATACACGGAAAAATCAAAAGTCTCTAAATGAAGAGCAACTTACATGGCTTAATGTGATTCTTACAAAACAAGTTTCAAATAAAACTGAAGAATTTAAACAATATGTTGGGCAGTTTACCGAACGTGTATGTAATAGAGTCCAAATTCCGACCCTTGTCCGTAATTCTTTTGTTTCGGGAAGATTCGATTCCTATTATTACGAAGACTACGATATCGCTCATCAAGTACTTGAACACTGGTAATTAATTTCATATGCATGTTAATATTCGTTTTAGCTGAATTTTCATTTTTATTAACCTTTCTGTAAATAGTGCCACACGATTAGAAGCTCATATTAGTTACGAATCCAAAAGTTTTAATCTAGAACGAACATTCGCAATAGACACTGTAATATATATTTTAAATCGGTTATTCAAGTTGCATCAAGATGTTTTAGACAGTGGGTGGTAAGTACCAATTATAAATTTTAAAGTGTTGGGATAGCTTATCAGTTAATTATGTTTTTCTTCTACTTAGGATCGAATTGACCACTCCTCATACAAAACATCACAAATTTGATGGGTTATTTAAAGTGATAAGAACAAAACTAAAGAATCAAGTTATAATTGTCGTTGAATTTTCAAGTGGCAGAAAAGCGTCATTAACTAAAGAACATGATGACCATGTTAAATTATGTCGAAATGCGATGAGGATTTTAAATGCCGTATTACAAACTATACCTAGGGAAAAGGCACGAATTTACTTGATACAATTTGTTAGTAAGTATTTGATCAAAGGTTGAGTAATGAGAAAGGTGCAAATTATTTACATACCTCTAAAAAAAAATTTTTTTTCTTTCTATAGACAGCTATCTTAAGATTGAGTATTTGATCTGTCCCTTACCATCAGTATATCTTCTTGACTGTCTTGTATACACTAAAGTACCCGAGACCTTTAACGACTTTGAAAAATTTGCCAAGGATATGGTGGAACTAATGAATTGGCAGGTATGGACTTATAAATTAGTCGGACTTCCTTTTTTAGTAGCTAATTTTAATTAATATAGGCAGATGTCTTATTCACGGTCAAGGAAATCAACAAAATTATTCACACAGCTGGAAGCAATAATATCTGCACAACTTCATTGGAAGATACACCAAAACAAGATAAAAAGAAAGTCATAAAGATCATAAAGAAAGCTAACGATTCATATCCAGAATCGCCTTGTCCTGGATCACCAGGCTCACCGTTGATATAAAATTATTTCATTTAGTTTTTATGAGTATCAGGTTTTTTAAAACTTTTTTATCCAATATGTATGCATGATGTGTTATTCCAATAATAATTTACTGGTAATGTGTCTTTTTTTATTCCTCTCAATGGCCTTGGGTTTTGGTATTTGTGTATAAATAAGGGAATTAATTTTTCTGTGCCAGTTGAGTTACATGTTA